CTCTGTTTTCTGGACTCACTCCTACTCCACACTTAACAAAATCCACATCTGCTCAAGTCCTTGATACAAAATAGCATAGTATTTGCATAAAGTATATAATACTTTCATATACACTAAATCATCTCTGGGTTATTAAATTATCCAACACAATGTAAATGCAGTGAATAAGTTGTCAGACTATTGTTCAGGGACTCATGACAAGAAAAAAAGTCCATAAATGTTCAGATGTAATATTTTTTCCTGAATATTCTCTATCTAAGGTTTGAATCTGCAGATGGGAGAATCAATGGGTAATGGGAATCATTCATTCACACAAACATACATAGGGATTGATCCTTGGGGAGAGAATGTTGCTCCTGGCCCCACAGTCATTCAGCAACATCAGAATGGGCTCTGGCCAAAGAGCAGGATTTAGCCTCAAATATCATCTCATACAACCTTCCAGTGAAGTAACTGTGGGAATTGAGTTACTAAGGGTGAATCAAGAGTAATTATTATAGTTTATTCAGTAGGTTGCAGGGGAGGGAGAAACCTCCTACTAGACTTGGGTATATACCCAGTAGTGGGATTGCTGGATCATAGGGCAAGATTTTTCTAGTTTTTAAAGAAGTCTCTACCCTGTTTTCCACAGTGGCTGCACTAATTTACATTCCTATCAATAGTATTTAAGTGTTCATCTTTATCCACATCCTCACTGGCATTTGTTACTCTCTGTGTTTTAATTTTAGCTATTTTGACAGGGGTGAGGTGATATCTCATTGCAGATTTGATTTGCTTTTCTCTGATGGCTAGTGATGTTGAACAATTTTTCAAATATTCGTTGGCCATTTATATTTCTTCTTTTGAGAACTGTCTATTGAATTCCTTTGCCCATTTCCTAACTGGATTGGTTTTAGTTTTTGTTGTTGAGGTATTTAAGTTGCTGATATATTTGGAGTATTAATCCTTGGTCAAATAGGTGGTTTGTAAATATTTTTCCCATTCTGCTGGTTGTCTCTTCACTCTATGGATCATTTCCTTTGCTGTGCAAAAGCTTCTGAGTTTGATATAGTTCCATTTGTTTAGTTTTGCATTTGTTGCCTTGCTTTGGGGGGTCCAAGAAGTCATCCCCTGCCTCAAGGTCTTGGAGTGTTTCCCTTACATTTTCTTCCAGTAACTTCATAGTCTCAGGTCTGCTCCACTTCCAATCCAGTTCTCTGCTATGGCCTGGGAAAGCAGTGGAAAATGGCCCAAGTCCTTGGGCCCTTGCACCCACATGGGAGACCTGGAAGAAGCTGCTGGCTCCTAGATTTGGATCCGCGTAGCTCTGGCTGTTGTGGCCATCCAGGGAGTGAACCAATGGTTGGAAGATCTCTATCTCTTTCTGCCTCTGCCTCTCTGTACCTCTGCCTTTCAAATAAATAAATAAATCTTTAAAACAAAATAAAAAAGAAACGCTGGCCTTATAAAATGTTTGGCAGAATTCCATCCTGTTCAATATTTTGAAATAGTTTGAAGAGTATTGGAGTTAATTCTCTTTGAATGTTTTGTACATTCAGTAATAAAGCCATCAGGTCAAGGACTTTTCCTTGATGGAAGACTTTTGATTACTTCCGACTACTTTTTCCTTGATGAAAGACTTTTGATTACTGCTTCAGTCTCATTGCTTATAATGGGCCTGTTTAGGTTGTTTGTATCTTCTTGATTTAATCTTAGTGTTTCATTGACATTAATTAATTAGCACTAACTTAATTAACATTAATCTTAATGTTGGGTTATATGAACCCAGGAATTTATCCATTTCTTCTAGGTTTTCCAGTTTATTAGCATATGGTTCTTCATAATACTTTCTTATGATCCTTTGTATTTCAGTGATGTCATTGTAATGTCTCCTTTTTCATCTCTATTTTTATATATTTGAGGTTTTTTTTTTCCTTTTTTCTTAAAGGTTTATCTATTTTGTTTATCTTCTGAAAACCATCAACTTTTTTTTTGTCGACTTTTTGTATTGTTTTTTAGTTTCAATTTCATTTATTTCTGCTCTGATCCTTATTATTTCTCACCTCCTGCTGATTTGGGGCTTGGTTTGTTCTTGTTTTTTAAGTCTTCATGATGTGTCATTAGATCTTTTGGAGATAGTTCTCTTTTTTAACGTAAGCACTTAATGTTATAAACTTACCTCTTAATACGTCTTTTACTATATCCAATAGGCTTTGATATATTGTGTTTTCATTTTCATTTATTTCAAGAAAGTTTTTGATATCTTTTTTAGTGTCTTCAATTGATCATTCCGTAGCGTATTGTTTAATTTCCAAGTATTTATGAATGTTCATTTCTAGTTTTATTTCTTTTTGGTCTGAGAAGACACATGATATAACTTAAATTGTTTTAAATTGGCAGAGATGTGATTTGTGCCCTAGTATTTGGTCCTATCCTAAAAAATATTCAATGTCTTATGCTAACTCTTGGGAAAATGTCCTGTAAATGTCTGTTAGGTCCATTTGCTTGATGTATGTTTCAACTCTGATATATTCTTATTGATTTTTTTGTCTGAATAATCTGTCCATTCATGACAGTGGGGTGCTGAAGTCACCCACTGTTATATTGTAGTCTATCTTTTCCCTTTAGGTCTAATAGTATTTTTTAATATATCTGGATGGCCTTTTTGGGTGCATATGTTTATGACTGTTATGTCTCCTTGCGGAATTGAACCTTTTATCGAATTACAATGTCCTTCTTTGTCTCTTTTTACAGTTTTTGATTTAAAGTCTGTTTTATCTGATATCGGGATAGCTATGCCTGCTCACTTTTGGTTTCTGTTTGCCTGGTATATCTTTGTTTTTGAGATGAGTCCCTTGTAGACAGCATATAGTAGGGTCTTGGTTTTTATTTTTCATTTATTCAGCCAACCTAAGTCTTTTTATTGTTGAATTAATCCATTTATAATAAATATTAGTATGTATAGATAAGAACAAAGATTTTTTTAGTTCCTTTCTTAATTTTTCCCTCTCTTAGTTAATTGAGTTTCTCTTATTTTGTACTCGGATTGTGTGGTTGGATTTATTGTTTATTTTCTTTGGTAAGTCTACTATAGGTTTTTATTATGTGATTATCATGAGGCATATACAGAAAGATTTTTTTAGTTTTATCAAGCTATTTTGAAATGAGAGAAACTTAACAATGATTATAAAGATATCAACAATAGAAAGGGATAAGAAATTAAGTTATTAAAGAACTTTACACTTGTATTCCATTCCTTCCCACATTCTGAAAGTTTGATATTCCACTTTACCTTGCCTATATTGTGTGTCCCTTAACATTTTAATAAACCTATTATTACTTTTAGTCTTCACACTATAAATATGAATAGTTTATGCACTATGTTTTAAATATTAAAGCCTTATGTACTTTTTATACACTTATAGATGTTTTCCAATTTATGAGATGTTTTTACTCATTAGCATCTTTTCTTTCAATTTGAAGAAGTCCCTTTAGCATTTCTTATCTGACATGTCTGGTGGTGGCAAATTAAGTTTTGATTATCTTAGAATGTTTTTCTCTCTCCCTCATGTTAAGGATAGTTTTGCACAGCAGGCATCTTTTCCTTTTCAGTAAAGTGAAATGTAAAGTGAAATTCTCATTTAATTTCTTTCTGGGCTGCAGGTTTCTGCTGATAAGTCAGCATTCAGCTGAATTGAGACTATTTTATGTGTTATTTACTGCTTTTCTCTTGCCTGGGATAGCAATGAAAGATGGGCCCAAGTGGGCCACTGCACTTATATGGGAGAACTGGAAGAAGCCTTTGGCTTCTGGCTTCAGTCTGGCTCAGCCCTGACCATTGTGGCTATTTGATGAACCAGCAGATGGAAGACTTCTCTCTCTTTCCCTCTGCATCTTCCTTTCTGTAATTCTGCCTTTCAAATAAGTAAATAAATCATTTCTTTAAAAAAAAAACACAACTTCAAAGAGACACCAGAAAGCATTCCAAACCTAGTGAAAGATACAATTGTCTAGGCACCAGAAAGTCAAAGGTCATCAGTCAGGTTCAGTTCAACCATGTGTACCAGAAGACATATATAAGACAGCTCTCCATGGTTTGTGTTTTATTTCTTTAATTACAAAAACATGTTGTAGTATATTTACATGATGAAACACTACCCATCTATAAAAAGAACTTTTGCAATAAAATAGATACAGCTGGAGAATATGATGCTCAGTGAAATAAGCCAGTCGTCAAATGACAACTATCATGTGTTTTCCCTGATTGGTGGTAACAAATACACTACAGAGTACCAAAAAAAAGTTATTTTGTGAGTGAAATTGATATTTTGATATTAATTATTGTTTAAAAACCATATCTATACTCTTAAGGAACAATGATTTTTCTGCTTACTACTTGTTGAATTCTTAATTTAATGGAGGGCTAATTTTGTGATTATAAACTAAATTGAAATTATGTCATTGTAGAAATTTTAAAAAAATAATAAAAGGTTGAGCTAGAAGGGCAGAAGGCAGGGATGGAGGGAAGACAATAGGAAGTATCATTATGCTCTTAAAACTGTATAAATAGGAAATACATAAAATTTTCCCCTTATATAAATAAAAAATGAAATTATAAAATGAAGCTAAAGATCACTTTTTATATCTAATTATTTGTTTATTTTGTCTCAATTATTTCAGAACTAAGCTTAATTATCACTTTTAGAAATTTTTGGAGGCTGAGGAATGGTCAAGGTGAATTAGGAAAGCATTTCAATCCAGAGTGAAACCTCTAGGCATTCTCTCCCATCTGTTCTCTTCCACTCCTGTTGAGTGAAATCTTGCTATCAAATGTATATAAGTCTACAGCATCTTCCCTTATTGAGCTTATTTTCAGAAACAGAACAGAAAAAAATGTGAATTTGGGATTAACTTTCTGAAACAATATATTTACTCCTAAGTGGCATCATTATACATAGAAGAACACCCTTGTCTCCACAGCAGCAGCTATACCTCACAGCGTGGGCCATAGAATCTCTCAGAAAGTTCTGTGTTGCCTCATTTCAATGGCTGTGATTGTTAACAGCATGCCCTTGGTTCTAACTGCCACTATCTTGGCTGCGTTGGGAATCCAACTCATTTTGACAGAGAATTGATTTATTCTGTGCCCATAGACCCCTTTTTATGGGGTGTACCTGTCTTAAAGGTATGTTAATATTACACTATTAAATATTGTACCTTCAAATACAAGTTAATATTTCTTAGAATACTTCCTGATTTGAAAATGTTACCATTTGCATTTTGTCATGGACAGTTATAGACATGTTTTATAGTTTTGTTTTATTCCTCAAATTTATATTTTATTCTTCTATCATGCAAGTCGACTTTAGCCTTTTTTACACTTAAAAAAGTAAATTGTTCCCTATTACATTCTGACACATCAAACCTCTGGGGAAAATATGGCAAAACCTGTTTTCATATAGTTTTTACCTAAATAAGTGCTTATTAAAATAATTAATATCAGAAATTTGAAACAAATATAGAATGGTGTATATGGTTTCAAGTGACTTCACAAAATAAGGTATACTTGAGTTTGCTTTTGTAAAAAGACTTTATTTGATAGGGAGAGAGAGAGAGAGAGAGAGAGAGAGAGAGAGAGAGAGATTTTCCATCTGCTAATTCACTCCCAAAATAACCACAAAAGTTGGAACTGGGCCAGGCCAAAGCCAGGAGCCTGGAGCTCAGACCAGGTCTCTCACATGGGTGGCAAGGATCAAAAGATATGGGTCATAACCTGCTGTCTCACAGGATCTACATTAGCATGAAGATGGAATTGAAAGCAGAGTCATGGCTCAAACTCCTGAACCCAATCACGTGTCGAACACTACCATATATTTTTAAGTAAATAATTTTTGTGTACTCAAAAGGGAGTGGGGGGAGAGATTCCACTTACTGGTTCTGTCCCCTAAATGTCCACAATAGCTGGGGCTAAACCAAGATAGTCAGGAGCCAGCCCAGAACCCAATCCTAATTTCTTATGTGGTAGCAGTGATCCTGCACTTGAGCCATCACCTGCTGCCTTCCAGGAAGTGCATTAGCAAGAATCTGAAGTCCCAGGCCCTTTGATATGGGTGTGAATGTACCAAACTGCATGTTAACCATTGTGCCAAATGTCTTCTCTTCAATTTTGTTTTTTTTCTACAAGGTTTTCCATCAATTTGTGGCATTTTCTTTCCATTCATACCCTTAGTTTTCAAAAGAAATCTTAACAATGTGTATCACATAGGTGTAAGTGTGTGAGCAAAAACCTACATTCTTGCTTTGGGTATTATCTAAAATTACAGATATTCTACCTATCACCAAAACCACTGATTTCCCAGATTTAAGCATGATTACATACAGTGCCCATTTTTCCTTTGTTGCTAAAGGAGTAGCCATTCATCCAGCCCAAAGACAGGGGAATAGGATTTATTGGTAGAAATTAATAGAAAAGAACAGAGAGATTCATTTAAAATGAGACACATGTGGATAAGAGGTAAAGATTTCAAGATAAACAATTTTTATTAGAATATAACTTTATAAATTTGCAAAATGATCAAAGTTTAAAAAAAAAAAAAAACCATTCATCATTGGTGCTGTTTTGATGTATTGTGTTACTTAGTTCTCCTGACCCATCATCCAGAGATCTTTACAAAAGAGCTCTAGTAAATTCCATGACATGGCAGCAAAGTTTAGAAGCACATATGATTTGCGAGGCAAAATAATGCAACATGATATTTCTTCCCTGGTTTTAGAGTACCATATGTTGTAATAGATAATGCTGCTCCACCCAATAAACAGCTCCTAATCTCTTGTAAACAGGTATCTGTTGACCATAGCTAGGCATTTGGGACATTTTGTAGAACAATGCTACCCTTCTGTGAAGAGTCACTAATTATGCTCTCAGTTGGCCACAGGAAGCAATTCTGACACCCTCATCAGTTCCTTAAAAACTGGACCTGAGGGCTGGTGCTGCAGCTCAATAGGCTAATCCTCTGCCTGCGGCACCAGCACACCGGGTTCTAATCCCAGTCAGGGCACCGGATTCTGTCCTCGTTGCTCCTCTTCCAGGCCAGCTCTCTGCTGTGGCCCGGGAATGCAGTGGAGGATGGCCCAAGTGCTTGGGCCCTGCACCCACATGGGAGACCAGGAGAAGCACCTGGCTCCTGGCTTCGGATCAGCACGGTGCGCTGGCTACAGTGCACCAGCCTCAGCGGCCACTGGGGGGTGAACCAACGGAAAAAGGAAGGCCTTTGTCTCTCTCTCTCACTGTCCACTCTGCCTGTCAAAAAAATGAAAGAAAAAACAAACAAAAAAAAAAAAACCTTGACCTGAGATAACACAATGTGGTCCAAAAGTTGCCAGTTTGGGTACTGCTGCTCACTTGATGCTCAGGAATGTTGTGAATGCACCAGACCTAACCCAGAAAGCAACACACAGAGAGTAACTCAAGAGTGCATGTTCCGCTATTACAAAGCCAAATTCACTTTCAAAGATGCACTCACTCACTGAACAACATGTTACTCAATGAACAGTGGGTCACAGAATAAATCAAGAGAGAAATCAAAAAAATTCGGAAAATGAATGAACACAATACAACATATCAAAACGTGGGATACAGCAAAAGCAGTGTTAAGAGGAAAGTTTATAGCAATTGGTGTCTACATTAAGAAATTAGAAAGGTACCAAATAAATGAGCTACTAATATACCTAAAGGACCTAGAGAAGCAACAGCAAACACAACCCAAAATTAGTAGGAGAAAGGAAATAATTAAGATTAGAGAATAAATAAGCAAACTTTAAACAAAAAAAAAAACAATACAAAAAATCAAAGTAATGAAGAGCTGGTTTTTTGAAAAAATAAACAAAATTGACACACCATTGCCCAACTAACAAAAACAGAGAGAGAAGACCCAAATCAATAAAATTAGAGAAGAAAATGAAATATAACAACAGATACCACAGAAATAAAAAGAATCAGGGGCCGGCACCAAGGCACAGTAGGTAAATCCTCCACCTGCAGCGCTGGTATCCCATATGGGTGCTGGTTCTAGTCCCAGCTTCTCCTCTTCCAATCCAGCTTTCTGCTGTGTCCTGGGAAAGCAGTAGAAGTTGGCCCAAATCCTTGAGACCCTGCACCCACATGGGAGACTGGGAAGAAGCACCTGGTTCCTAGCTTCGGATCAGCGCAGCTCCGGCCATTGAAGCCAACTGGGGAGTGGACCAACGGAAGGAAGACCTTTCTGTCTGTCTCCCTCTCACTGTCTATAACTCTACATCTCAAATAAATAAATAAAATCTTTTTTAAAAAAAAGAATCATCAGGAATTACTATGAAAAGTTGTATGTCAACAAATTGGGAAATCTAGAGGAAATGGATAGATTCCTGGATACATAAAACCTACCTAAAGTGAGCCATTAAAACATAGAAAAGCTAACAGATCAATAACCAAGATGGAAAATGAATCAGTAATAAAGACTCTCCCAAAAAAGAAAAGCCCAAATCAGATAGCTTCACTGCTGAATTCTCAGACATTTAAAGAAGAATTAACTCCAATTCTTCTCAATATATTCAAAACAATCAAAAGGGAGGGGATCTTCCAAAATCCTTCTATGAAGCCAGTATCACCCTAATTTCTAAAGCGGAAAAAGATACAACAGAGAAAGAGAACTACAGATCAATTTCCCTGATGAATATACATGCAAAAATTCTCAATTAAAATCCAACAACACATCACAAAAATCATTCACCTGGACCAAGCAGGATTTATCCCTGCAATGCAAGGGTGGTTCAAAATTTGAGACTCAATCAGTGTGATACATCACATTAACAAACTGAAGAATGAAAAACATATGACATTTTCATTAGATGCAAAGAGAGAATTTGATAAAAATAAACACCCTTTCATGATGAAAACTAAGCAAATTTGGTATTTAAGGAACATTCTTCAACATAATCAAGGCAATTTATGACAAAACCACAGCCAGCATCCTATTAAATGGGGAAAAGATGGAAGCAGTTCCACTAAGATCCAGAGCCAGAAAGGATGCCCACTCTCACCTTTGCTATCCAATATCATCCTGGAAGTTTTTGCCAGAGCCATTAGCAAAGAAAAAGACATCAAAGGGATACAAATTGGGAAGGAGGAAGTCAAACTCTCCCTATTTGCAGATGACATGATTCTATATATAGGGAACTCAAAGACTCCACTAAGAAACTATTGGACCTCATAAAAGAGGTTGGTGAAGTGGAAGGATATAAAATTAACACACAAAAATCAATAGCTTTTGTACACACAGACAATGCCACAGCTGAGAAAGAACTGAGACTGGAGGCCGGCGCTGTGGCATAGCAGGTAAAGCCACCACCTGCGGTGCCACCATCCCATATGGACACCGGTTCAGGACCCAGCTGCTCAACTTCTGATCCAGCTCTCTGCTATGGCCTGGGAAAGCAGAAGAAAATGGCCAAAGTCCTTGGGTCTCTGCACCCATGTAGGAGAACCAGAGGAAACTCCTGGCTCCTGGCTTCAGATCAGTGCAGCTCCAGCCATTGCACCCAAGTGGGGAGTGAACCAGCAGATGGAAGACCTCTCTCTCTCTCTCTCTCCCCACCCCGTGTGACTCTTTCAAATAAGTAAATATTTAAAAAAAAAACTTCTGGCCAGCGCCGTGGCTCACTAGGCTAATCCTCCACCTGCGGCATCTGCACCCCGGGGTTCTAGTCCCGGTCGGGCCACTGGATTCTGTCCTGGTTGCTCCTCTTCCAGTCCAGCTCTCTGCTGTGGCCCAGGAAGGCAGTGGATCATGGCCCAAGTCCTTGGGCCCTTCACCCATGTGGGAGACCAGGAAAACAGCTTCAGATCAGCATGGAGCACACCAGCCGCAGCAGCCATTTTGGGGTGAACCAATGAAAAAAAGGAAGACCTTTCTCTCTGTCTCTCTCTCACTGTCCACTCTGCCTGTCAAAAAAAAAAAAGAACTTCTAAGATCAATCCCATTCAGAATACCTAGAAAATAATCAAATAACTTAGAATAAAGTTAATCAAGCTTATCTTATCTCTATGACAAAAATTATAAAACACTAAAGAAAGAAATATAAGAAACCACAAGTGGAAAAATCTTCCATATTGATGGATTGGAAGAATCAATACTATCAAAATGTCCA